ATAACCATGGTGATCTTCTCCAGCCATGAGCTGTGTTATTGTTCCGTCTTTAAAAAATTTTCAAAATCAGTGGAAGAAGTTCCAATTGTTTTACAAAACAGCGTATGAAATCAGCTGTGCAGTTATTTGTCTCTTCTGCAATATTTCTAGGAAAAGAAGTATGTTGGTTTTTAAAGAGATGCTAAAAAAGACATTACAACACACCAAGATTTTCATTTTAGAAGGCCAGTGACTAAGAATGAAAGGCGTTCCGTGTTTTACCTCCACTAATACATTACATATATATATATGTATATATTGGCTTTTGGCAGGAATTGGGGGTGGCTAAATGATATCTGCCTCTATTAGCCAGCCCATCTTAGCTAATTCATTAAATGATGACTCAGATGTGAAACATGCCTCGTTTTTTTCTTTTTTTCCCTCCCAATACTCACTTGAAGACCTCTGTATTTGTGGGGTTGTACTGTAAGACTCATTTGCTTTTACTCAAGTTAACAGATGAGAACTTGTTGGCTTGGGAACACATGGCTGAAAAGCCATCCTTAGCACTGGAGAACCAGTAGCTGGTGGGCTTCAGACAGCAGAGGCAATTCTTTCTCTATCATTGGAAGTTCCACTGACTCAAGGAGTGAAGGTGCTTGGCTCAGTCTTCTTCCCAGGCTTTTAGGCCATTACAATTTTTCAGATAACGGGAGCTTAAACTGACATCTAGAGAACAGCACATCTACCCAGCTCACTCTTTTGTTCAGACTGTCCTGCATGGCAAGGTCAAATTTTACTGTGAAGGTCAAATTATTCACAGTGATGTTTTTTTTTTTTAAAAAAAAAAAAAAAAAAGAAATTCAGATGGTAAAGTAAATGCAATATAAAGAAATGGCAGAGAAACTGAGGAATGGGTTTTTCCACTGGTAGTGGCTTCACATTTGGTGGTACAGAAGCATTTTTTTAAGCTGTATTGCTCATTGTGGTGAATGAATCAAAGGGGTAAAGAGCTACTCAGCTTTCCCCGTCTTCTCAGCTCCAGCTACTGTCTGATGAATAGGGCTCCTAATCACTTGATATTGAGATATGTTTTATGGCTCACTTGACACAGCTCTCTCTTGCAATCTTTGGTTTATTCACATCCAGTGAACTTCATTGTGCCTTGATTTTTTGGAGGACTACATTTTTAGTGCCTATCTGTTTAACAGAAGGTTCTTCCAACTCGCGGTATGTAGTCAATTGAACATGAGCTTTTATAATGAGGTATTGACTATTCTTTGTTCAAACAAATATTAAACTTTATTTCCAAATTTTGAATAGCTCTTTATTTTTATTTTTTTTTACCTTTCTTCCCTCCTTTTTAAAATCTAGTGCATGATGTTGCTGCATTTGCAGAGCTTGATCCAGAAGAATCAAAGAACATGCTTAAGGAAAAGAATGGCATGTGGTTCATGAACCTCATAATTAGTTCCCCTTCCTAGCTCTAAGCAGTAATTAAATCTGTCACTTCTGCTCTGCTGATTCATTTATTTAGCTACTTAATTGCTCAGCTGAATACATCTTTATCTCCGGAACTGCAATATTTTATTCAGACAAAGAAATAGCATAATCCATTATTTTTTTCCAAGAGCAGGGACATGTAAAAGAAAAGAACACTAATACTAGATGATTTGGTGTGTTGTCAGTTTTCACTTATCAAACAAAACAGTGTTTAAGGGAAAACTTCAACCACTGCTTGAGGATAGCTTCCCGTATATAGGTTTGTTTCCCTGGGAAATTATGTCAAATGCTGGGAACTGGTCTATTTGATCTATATTTCCCTTTCCATGAGTTAATGTAAAGCTTCGAGGAAAGTGGTCACAATCTCCTATAAAACCACTATTCTCATCTTGACCTAATGGCAGAATATTTTATAAACATTTTAAATTTGTAAATATCTACTAAGTTATATGCAAACTAAATGACTCGTCTTCAAATACAGCATTTTGATTTACAAAGAAACAGCTTTTTTAATACGTATAAGCTTAAAAAGCAGCAAATACATCTCTGTAAGGCGTATTTCCATACATGCAGTTTTCTCTTGTTTTCTTCATCCTAAAGGGTGAGGTTACAAAATTCCCTTGCTGATCTTTACCAATAGGTTGGAAGAACTGATATGGGAAATCAGCCACCTCTGGGAAAAACAATGAGGACTATATGAATACAGGTCAAACAGGGCTTTTTGTCAAGACAAGGAAATATTGTGAGTTTTGTAAACTTTGGTGTCCCCTTGTCTCTGAATTCTGTAATGATAGCTGTTCCAAGAAGTAGAAGACACAAAAACCACCAAAGATTCAGGGAAGAATATTTTTATTTCACTTCTGGCATCAGCAGCTCAGTTTTGCCAGTTTACTCACCTGCCTAGCTGGCTAGAATTTTGTACGATGTACACAATCTTATATTTCACTCCATTAGTGACTTATTTTTGCTGTCTTTTCCCTCAGTTGCAGCTATACCTCTGTTTAAGTCATAAGTCGTCTTTTTCCCAAGTATATTTGTTGTTCTAAAAATAATTTTTTTGCTTTCTTGGAAGGGGTTTTGTTGTGGTTCACAAGGATATTTTCCCTTTAGTGAAGATCCAGTTCATGTATTTGCAACACGAGGCATGTCCATGCTGTCACAGCAGAGACCCCCACCTTGGCTCCATTGGAAGTGAATGCAGGCCCCTATATGAAGATCAGCCAGCAGAATGCGGAATGGGCAGGATTTACTAGCGATATTGCGATGCCTCGCAAATACAGCTGCACATCTCACAATACCTGTCTGCTGAGCTATGCAGGCTTCCCCCTGCCTGCACCACATCAGGGGTCTCTGCTTCACTCGCCCCACGCACAGCCCCGTTCTCAGCAACAGCTTTGTCAGCCTGTGGGCTGGTGGCCATGGCCGACAATGCTCGGTCAGTATTGTCTGTGTAGTGTTATTGTTCTGCATCTGTGTAGTCTGGCTGACTGAAAGCTCTTTGTTAAAAGAAAGAATATTTCTCTCCCTGCTAAACTAGGAAGTCTGGAAATCTTGCGGGCAGTTTTGTTCATACTGTGCCTGTGTCTGCAATTCTGAGGCAGGCGTTTCGCATGAGCTTCACTTAAATATCATGTCTTTTAAATGTGTTTCTTCCACTGATGTCTGCTAAGCGTGGGTTCTTTGTTATGTAGGACATATACTTAAATTCAGGGAATTAGTAAAGCAGCAAAAACTATCTCTGGACATCCTTTGAAGATAAGGGTGCTTTGAGGATAAGCCTGCATGTGAATGGTTTTGGTGTGAGAAAGCAGCGCTCAGTGTGGCAGGACAAACAAGTTAAGATCAGAGGAGGGCACGGGAATGGAACAGGGAAAATAACATTTATTTGCAGTGAAAGAGAAGTTTATTACTGAGTTGGTGTGAAGTGAGCACAGGAAACAGGGATAATTTCAGATGGCTTTCATCTCAGTTATAAGAGAACATGAGGTTAGCCATATTAGCAACAGGATTAACTACTTTTACATAGACGTGTATGTCCCTTGAGACACAAGATGTAGAGGGACATCTGGGAATGTCTGTGAAGGGGAGAAGGGGACAGTGATAGTCAGCTTCCACTGCGATCAACTTAGATGTTCTCATCCTGCCACCAACAGGCTAGTAATTACTATCTCAAAGGCACTGTTGAGTTTACAGGCAGTCAAACAGGATGAAAACAATCCACTATTGCTGCTCTGCCCTCCCTGTGCAGGAGCAGGCAGCGCCCAGCTGCTCACATAGCACAGACAAGGACACTGCAAAGTGTTGCACAAGCTCTAGGTCCCAGATCTGCTTATGGAGACATTCTACTAGATCGAAGATAGATCAGAACACACACAGTTTCTGTGTGTGTTCTTAAATGTGGTTCCTGATTAGTTTTCAGTTCTCACTGCACAGTTGGAAAGTTCAGGCCAGATTTTATCATCACTTGCAGCACTAGAATATGTTGGTGTAAAACACATCTATATCAAATCAGATGCAAGCCCCCACTTTTGATACAAATCATAGAACGGCTTGGACTGGAAGGAACCTTAAAGATCAAATGCACCCAAGACTGTACTTCATTAATGCAGCGATACATTTATTCACATATTGAGAACTTATTCCTGAAGCTTTAATTAGGAGTAGCCGTTGCTTATGCTATTTGATGTAATGTATCTGTGGGGCTTGAAAGCTACCCCTGGACAGCTCTGGTCACTTCGCTGGGTTATATAAGATGCACAGAGCTGGGTACCTATAAATATTAGCATGCAGCTGTCACAAAAGGATCGTGAGCAGGCTGCTCGGGACCTGGAAAACATAATAACTTGGCACCCGGGAACATACAACTCTGATAACATATTGCAAGGTTATGTGTTGGGGGAGAGGGTAGGAAGGTGGTGGTCGCTTTTTATCTTTGTCTCTTTTTAATTTTAGTTTTTCCTTCTGGTATAAGTTGAATCTTTACAATTTTTATCACGTTAGGATGTGACATTCCCGGCCTTGACAGTGCTTTTGTTTGGATATTTATAGCAGCTTCTGGTCATTGTCGAGCAAAGGAGATTGCCCTGCCCTCTGGCCCTTTCTTAAGCAGATTTTGGGCAGAAGCTCCTCTCATGTGGCACTAATTGAAATGATTGGTGGAGGGGGTGTTGTGAGCGCACTGTGTCTGACTCGGGTTTATCTGCCAGGGGCTAAGCCAGGGGAGGCAGGGAGGGGAAAAAAAAAAAAAAAAAAAAAAAAAAAAAAAAAAAAAAAAAAAAGAAAAAAAAACACACACACACACACACACACAACAGCCAGGCTTTGCTTCGCTCTGGTCGCGCTGCCGGCCATCTGTCCAAGCTCGGGCTCGGAGACGGGCGGAGGGACGCGGTCGCTGCCGCTCCGCAGGTCGGTACCGCCGCGGGCGCTGGGCTCCCTGCCGGAGCCGCACTGGGCTGTTGCGTGCTGCGAGTCTGGGCGCGGGTCTGAGTGGCGCTCTCGGCAGTTGGGCGCGCTGCTCGCCGAGCGCTGGCTGCTCAGGGCGGGCCGGCAGCGGGCGAAGTCGCTGAAAGATTTCGAGTGGCAAATTGGAAGTGATTTCGGGTGGAGATGGGGCTCGTGCGGGCGGCTCGTCGTCCGGGCAAGTGAGCTGCGCTGAAATATGTTTTAGGGATTGTCAGCTGGAAAGTGTGCGCTTCCCTTGGGTGAGTAACTCCGCCTGAGCCGGCAGCTTGCGGATCTGAAGGAGATGGTATCTTTCGGAGGTTTGTCCGCCTCCCTTTACCGCAGCCCCTACCCCCTGATAACTATTCTCTGTAAGTTTAGGGCGAAATCGGGAGGGGCGCGAGCTGGCCGTGCGCTCCGCAGGGGTTGTGAAGGATTAGCAAGGCAGAGGCTGCGAAGTTTCTGACGTCCTATAAACCAGCAATACTGTCAGAAGCAACAGAGCTGCGTTATTTTCACGCGTTTTCAAGGTGTTAGCCGGGGAGGTTGCATCTTTCTCTTTAGCTGCTAATGTTTCTGGAGGCTATTTGGAGTTGGTGGTTTTAACAGCCCGAGCAAACAGCTGTATGGTAGTTCTGTGTGCAACAGGGAGAGAAAAAGTGAAACTTCAGTGTGTGTTGCTTGAAGAAAACTTACGAACTTTGTGCTAGCTTCATGGTAACAGCAGTGAGAGGTTTCTAGACTCCATGCCTCTAATTGTTCGTAATATTAAAGCACGCAAGGAGTCTTGTTAGTCTGCACCAAAAACTATATTTCAATTTCTTTAACACATCTGCTATGAAGTCATATTAACCAGAAACCGGTTATGCAAATTCTATTGTTTGTGTTCGTGATAACTCTACTAGGCCTACTTGAAAAACAAAATAAGGTTCAGATAGTGTGTTAACAGAACTCTTAGCAGATCTCAGTTAAACACAGCGAAATCCAGCCATAGCTGAAAATGAGCGTGCACGTTGACTTTAAAATGTTAGAAAAGAATTTTGATGTGAGAAGTACGCATACCATCCCATCTAACTGTAGGTCTTGGGTTTCTTTTTTCTTCTGTATGATGTTTTGGAAATGGAAAAATAGTAAGAAGTGGATTTGAGCTGGTAATCCACTTGTCCACTGCTTATCCCTAATGAGGTTCTTAGTACACAGCTTGTGACCTATCGCTGAGGAACACTGACAATGGAATCCAGGAATTGGCCATACTGAAGTTACAAAGAGCTCGAGAAATATATAAATAAAATAAATTGAAAACATGAGGCTTAACCACTTATAAAGCCTTTAACAAACACATGGTGTCTACTATTCTACTTTATTCAAAGAGAAATAAAAAACTTGCCTATCACATGGTTATTACTCCATACCTTCTTAATATATACTTGGGTGAAGAAAAATGTCTATTTTCTTCACTGTCTGAATTAGTTGTGTTTTTTTGTTGTTGTTGTTGTTGCAGGTACGTTTTTTTCCTTTACAAAATAACTTGTCCTTTCTATTTTTCTCCTGTCTATCCGTGCTGCAAAAATAAGTCTTGAAGCATGTAACATTAGTTTTACTGTTTGTTTTCCATTCCTTATTGCTCTTGGTCTCCATTTGGTCCAGTTTTGAACATTTTTGTAATTTAAACACATCTGTATTTAAACACATCTGTAGAGTGGGAGGTGTGATAATGCATGGCAATATGAATGTATTGTTATTGTTACTTTGGAGAAGCTAAAAGCATGATAAATACTCCATTAGCTGTATCAGTAAGAAATATGTTAATGTGAGTGCATGGTCAGTTAGAAAACACGTTTTTATTTGAAAGCCTTCTCATGGCAGACATGGTATCAATAATCTTAATGCATAACCTGTGGTGCGTATCTTCCATGATGGATCTGATTTTTCTCATAGGTCTTTTGTAAATACTGTTTTTATTTAGGACAACAGAATTTTCAAGGAAAGTCCAGGCTCCTTGTTTCTCTTCAGCCTCTGAGTTTGGCAGGAATTTGCCAGGACGGTTGGGGGTGTACGGAACAGGCAGTTTAGGATGCAGCTCTTCTTGTCAGAAATTGCTTTTGGTATTGAAGGGCACTGAGGTCTGATAATAATGTGAATTGTGCCTATTCAAACTGTATGTCAACCCCAAATACTTCTGTGTGTGTTGGATACCAAGAAGGAAATCAGAGTAGCTGCCTCTGATTTTCGAAAGCTAGTGGACAACTTTGTAAAGCACTTAGTGGAGTATCAGATTATTTGCATCTGAAGCAGCATGCCACAGAGCAATCAGAGAGTAAAAGACTGTTCTAGCCAGAGTGCAGAGGTTTGCACCCTTTCATGGGTTCTCCTTGCTAGAGGAAATGAAAGGAGATCACAATCACAGAATGGCCTGAGTTGAAAAGGACCACAATGACCATCTAGTTTCAACCCCCCTGCTATATGCAGAGTCATAAACCACCAGTGCAGGCTGCCCAGAGCCACATCCAGCCTGGCTTCGAATGCCTCCAGTGATGGGGCATCCATAACCTCCTTGGCCAACCTGTTCCAGTGCTTCACCACCTTCTGAGTGTCAATGGAAGGCTGATGAAATCACAACAAACACCAAATGCTAAGCAAAGAGCTGCACACTCTGGCAGTACACAGCCACCTGGGCTGCTGTCAAACAAACCCTCCCAGTGTCTTCCCCAAACCTTGGGCAGTGCTATTAGGGCAAATCCTGTGGCTGCTGCCCTGTGGTGGTGCTATTAAGGGAGCTTGGGATGCAGGAGGATGCAGAGGAATGGAGCAGATCTCGCCTTTCTGCTGGCAGGGCTGGGCAGGATCAGCTGCTATGGCACCCTGCTGTGGGGCTGTGCCTGTGGGGAAGAAGTGTGAAGGAGGAATCTGATAGTGGGAAAGTGCTGGGAGGGCAGTGCTGAGCAAAGTGTGAGGTGATGAGATCTTGAGGGGGCGGGGGAGGCATTGGCAGAGGTTGAGTTTTGGTGGAGTAAGGATTGAGGGCAGTTGTATGGACCCAGAAGCCGGAGCTCTTGAGTTTTGCTACAGGGAACTTTTGCAACTGGATGGGTAGGATGAATCGGGTATATGAAAGACATCTAGCTTTAGGTGTCCCTCTTCATTTCAGGGGAGTAAGACTAGAGGACCTTTAAAATTCCCTTTCAACTCAATTCTATGATAAAAGTCAAGATAGGAAGTGAGCATGGGGATTCTCAAGGGCTGAGGAAAGGTTTGGCAATGGAGCAGGAGCAAAATTCAGGGATAGGGGAAGGCTGACAACAAGCAGGTAAGGGGATTCAGATAAGCTTCAGCCAATTCTGTTGTGTATGTGATATCAGTGAGGTAAGCACACAGCACTAAGACTGATTACTCTTGCTGTTAATGCTTCACAAAGATTTTCATTTAATGGAGTGTCTGTCTTCTGACGTCTGTAATAACGTCATGAGTGCAGATTGTGGAATGGGAAGAAATTTATTTTCATAGAAATTTGGAGATCATTTCTCTTTAAAAGAGACCTCCTCACACTTTCAGTTAACAAATGTAATTCATTGCATTCATTTGCTAAGCAACAGACTCACTTTGTTGCCTGTGAAGCACAAAAGCAAGGGAGGTTTTGACACAAGAAGCAGGGCTTATGTAAAGTTCATGAACAGCAGCAGAAAGAGTGAATGATGATTTTTTTCTGTTTTGTGCCTTACATTAAAATATTTTAAGGTTGGATACTTTTCTCTGCTGGCTGCCATCAGTGATAGAAGTATCAACAGGAGAAAAATGGGTCGCTTGGGTTTTAGCATTAAGTAGCAAATCCAAGGCCAATAGGATTTAGCTGAGATGTTAAGGTTTATTCAGTGCATTTAGTTAATGAAGTTGAGAGGAAAAAATGTCTGTCTGGGGGATGGAGAAGAGGACAGCTTCGCCTCCTGCCACCAGGTGCATCCTGCAGTGACTCTTCTTGATTGATAGGCACTCCAAGAGGCAACAAAGAGCTGAGTGAAAGGAGGTTTTAATTAAACCTGCACGATGCCAGCTCTTTTGGATTAAAATTGAGCAGGAAATCTTTGGAATATACATCCGTCTAGTCTTAAGGGTGTACGTTTGTTATTATGAAGCTTAGGAGAAGGGGAGATGACAATATGTCCAAGTGCCTACGCAGCAGTTACAAAGCAGTGACAATGTTCAGTAAGTTCAATCACATGCGAAACCTTGTCAGTAGCTAACATTTATCAATCAGGCACAGAAAAGAAGTTCAGGTCAACTAATTCCCATCTGAATAGTATGCCAAGATTTCTTGCAGGCAGTCTCACAGTCTCAGCAGCACAGGGGCCTCTTGCTGCACTAACCTGTGATCTGAAGCTTTTGTATGCTCTGCCAGGGGCTAGCATCTTGGCATTGTACAAGCAGTTCAACATCCACAGTTGCTTTTAGAGCCTCAAAGACTTTCAGCAGAGAGACCAATTTAAAAAAGATTGATAATATAGAAAGTTGCCTTTATTTTAAAGATGAAATAATATCTACGCAAAACTCAAAACAACATGAAATGATCCTTTTTCCAGGATTTCTAGTCTTTCTTTTTTTCAGTTACATTCCTCTATAGGCCAGACTCCTACTCAGATCAGACGTCATTGTTCCTGAATCTGTAGTGGTCAGTTAGAGTCTGATGAACTTTCTTATTCCACCCACGCCTTCAAACATCTGTGCTTGCTGTCATAGCTGGGAGCTCTTGGACAGCAGTTAAGACCATTGAGATTCAGTCCAGTGACCTCAACAGCCTTTTTTTCTGAGTGGGATGTGGGCAGGGGTGGCAGGATTTGATTGTAGCAGTCTTGAATCCATAAGCAGCAGGCTTACAAAATGAGTAAAAAGATTCCCTGTAGCAGTTGTACCAGCCTAACCAGTAGCTCGGATAGCCTATGGCTTAGCACAAGTGTGTGAGAAGGGCAGTGAAGCAGTTCTTGGAAGGATTTAGCTCAGTGACACCTGAAAACTCACACAAAATGGATGGTTTGGAGAACAAGAGTGCATGTGGGGGGTTGCTTTTTTTATTGGTTTGGGGAGGAGTTTATTATTTAGGAGTCTTTTTTTTTGGGGGGGGGGGGGGGAAATTATTCTGCAAGTAATAAGAATATTGATAAAGCAGCATTTGCATTTTTCTTCATCGTTATGAACTGGTCTATTCCTGTTAGTTTCACATAACCTTTACTGAACAAAAAAATAGCCTGTATTTATAGACTAAACCAGA